CCTGCGTAATCCCCGAGCCAAAACCCACCATCCTTGCTTGACCCCACACCCGAAATCCCAAGTGCTCCCAGCCAGGCTATGGGTTTAGGCAAATCACAAGGTTTAGGGTTTAGGGTTTAGAGGCTTTTTGGAGTGTGGAGCTTGGCATCTGAGGCTGTCAGGTTTGTTTGTTGGGTTATTCAAGCCCCGCCGTTATCTACTTACCCAACCCACGAGCGTCTACCCTAGACCCATGAACAACTGCTTCCCGCCTCGAAACGAACATGTGTCCTTATACTCACCATCCCTTTGGCGCCCAACGCCGGCGCCGAAGAGTTTTGTAGTGACTACACACGGTAGTGGCCTGTTCTTGACAGTCTCCTTGTACTTTCGAATCCCCTGAACCTCCTAGCTTTTCCGACTGTCACAGCCCAAATGATCCCTACATTCTAAACCCCAAAGCTAAAGCCTAAACCGACTAAACAAGCAGAAGGATTTTAATGGCGTCGTGCATGTACATGAAAGCCGGGGACCTGGACCTGGTCTTGATACTTAGGGTCGAAAGCTGGGGGGGGATTTGGGTTTGGGGTTTAGGGTGTAGGGTTTGGGCTTTATGGTTTAGGGTTGAGGGTTTATGGGTCAGGGGATGTTGGGTTCCGGGTTTAGGGGATCTGGGGCGTCACGGTCTTGCGGCTCTAGGGGTTGCCAGCTTATTCCTCTGCTATACTCATCGTTACGATCGTTTGATCTGAAGTCGTCACCTCACCTTCAGGACCCAGTAACCCTCAAAAGGGCTTGGGTTCTACATCTTATGCCTAGATGGGATATGATGTGGGCCATGTAACAGGCTGGTTTGCCATTCTATCAAACTTGTCCTGGCTGGTTCAACGATTGATACGTTGGTTCACTGCGCTGCACCCACAACCCTACACTTTGTCGTTTTCTCGTTCCTTGCTGGCTCGATCAAGCACAGGAAGCTTAGAAACCTAATTTGCCAATCCCAGGTGGACGGTTGATTGAAGGCAACCCTTTCAGGGTTTCTGTACGCTACATAATGTATAGTATGTCATATCACATATATATATATACACATATATATATATATATATATATTTGTTTTTTATTCTATTATATTATATTATATTATATTATATTATATTATATTATATTATATTTTATTATATTATATTATGTTATATTATGTTATATTATGTTATATTATGTTATGTTATATTATATTATATTATGTTATGTTATATTATATTATATTATATTATATTATATTATATTATTATATTATATTATATTATATTATATTATATTATATTATATTATATTATATATATACATAATACAGGTATGTGTATGTACGTATACGTTTTTATGTATATGTATGTATATATATATATTATATATTATATATATATATATACATACATGCATTAGACACGAGGACAAGTTCTTGACATTCCCCTCTGCTACCTTCAAACCTGAAGCCTAGGCTAGAAGTGCGTTTCGTCGGGTGAAGGGTCTTGGGAAAGGGCCGAGGCTTTCTGGTTTCAGGTTCAGGGCAGTAGGGTCAAAGGCCCACAACACAATGCCGGCATCACGTTGTGGCGGAGCTGCCAGAGTGGGAAGATGGGCGAGCGCCACGTCCTTTCGTCCAATCAGGGTACAGGTGGGTAGACAGAAAGGGGCTTACAATGATTAGAACGGGGTGTTGCGCGGGAGAGCAGAATAATGCGATAATCAGTATAGTGTTACTAGCCATTTCTTCAAGTGAGACACAATATTCGGAAAATCAAAGTCCCATGCCCTACACCGCTACATCCTGAATCCTTCAACCCCTGTCAATCGGAATTCCGCACCCCTGATAAATTCCCTAAGCCGTGAAACCCGAATATCGGGGAGTCTCTGTATCCCTAAAAGCCTGCAGACAAGTGCGACACGCAGGCCCCAGCCTTCCACACAAATTTTCCTGGATGTTGACCCAAAATGTGCGATTCGTATTAGGCTGCACCCGAGCAGCCCTAAGCCCTAAACCCAAAAAACAAAAAAACTAAACCGCGCTAGTACCCCCTACCTATCATACCCTCATCCCCTACAGTACCCTTACCCTCTCTAGTGGAACCCTATGATCCATTACGGTCCTTCAACGTAACC